AAATATTTTCCAGTCGAAATTTTCTTCTTCTTTTTTTTTCGCTTTTCTTTTCTTTTCTTTTTTTTTCTACAATAAATTTTACGAGTTTTATTAATTGCCAGAGTTACGGATTTTAAAATAATAATAATAATTATTATTATTATTTCGAGTTTTTATAAAAAAAAAAAAAAAAAGAAATTTTATAAAAATTAGTTTATCGGAAAATATTTAATTGTTTTCATTCGATATTATTAATCGTGCTTTTCCACCGTGATAAAAAAAAAAAATTTTCCTTTAAAATAATTTAATTTGTTAATTATTTAATTTATGAAATGTAAATACAATATAATTAAACGTTTACTTAAAAAAAGAAAAATTATTATTATTATAGTCATAATTGATTCGGAAAATAATAATTGGGGAAAGAGAGAAAAAAATGTCAATTTTTTTTTTAATTTTAATATCCGTATGAAAAAAAAAAAATTGCATAAATTATTATAATTTTTTTTTTTTAACGAGATTATCATATAAATTTAATAATAATAAAAGAAACGTCTTTTTTTTAATAATTATGGAAAACCGGAAATGGTTGAATAATTTTAAATTAATTTTTTTTTCTTTCTTTTATATAAAATTAACAAAAAGAACGTAATTAATTAATAAGAGGAAATAAACAAAGAATAATAATTTTAAAAAAATTTTCTTGTTTTTCCACTCGGGGCAAAAAAAAAAAAATTTTTTTTTTTTTTAAAACTCCCGATTAAATTAAAATATTAGTAAATCATTATTATTATTATCGAAAAAAAAAAAAATTAAGGTCGTTAATCGAATTTTAATTTTTTCTTATGTACGAAACACGATTTACGCAAAAAAAAAAAAAAAAAAAAAAAATTAATGATAATAATATTTTTAAAAAAAATGTATATATCTTACATAAACCTAAATTTCTTGCTGTTGCCGCTGCTGCAACAACCGCAGCATAACGATGTGCCAAATCTTCATTTTTTGCCGACAATTGAGGGGGTTCCTATTAAAAAAAAAAAAAAAAAAAAA